TCCAGAGAGACCCGGGTTCAGTTCCCGCTAAGGGCACGTACTTCGGTTGCAGTTTGTCCCCGGTCCTGGTTGGTCGTGCAGGTGGCAGCCACTCGATGTGTCCCTTTCACATCGATGTTTCTCTCTCTGTCTCTTCCTCTCTCTCCCTCCCACTCTATCTGTACAAAAAATGGAAAAATGTCCTCGGGTGAGGATTAAAAAAAAAAAAAGAAAAGAAATTAAATCAGGATATAAAGGACAAAAAGAATGTGTGTCAAAACATTAAAATGTTTTTATAGGGAAAGGCCATAAAAAAAAAAAAATCTGCAAATGGAACCTGAATGTTAACAAAAGAAGTTAAATTGTGGTGTGATCTGCCCTGGCCACTTTGGCTTTTTTAGCATTGGCCTGCGGTCCAGAGAGACCCGGGTTCGGTTCCCACTCAGGGCGTGTACCTCGGTTGCAGTTTGTCCCCGGCCCTGGTTGGTTGTGCGGGTGGCAGCCACTCGATGTGCACCTTTCACATCGATTTTCTCTCTCTCTCTCTCTCTCTCTCTCTCTCTCTCTCTCTCTCTCTCTCTGTCTTCCTCTCTCTCCCTCCCACTCTATCTGAACAAAAAATGGAAAAATGTCCTTGGGTGAGGATTAAAAAAACAAATTTTTTTTGGTGTGATCTGCCACATAACAGACTACCATGTAACCATAAAGACTATGACATACAAATACAACACTCAGAGAAGTCACCGTATTTTTAAGAAAAAAGGGCAGGTCCAGAAAGGGAAAAAAATAATATCCTTTTTCTCCTATGTATAAATACAATGAATGTATAGGAATAGCTCTGTTGAGGACACTAGGACGTGATCATCCTGGATATAAATGCTTTTTCGTTTTTTTCCTTTTGCTTATCTATGTTATATTTTGATTGTTTTTTCCTATAACAAGCAAAACCTGCATCTCTGTAATAAAGAATGACATTTAAATTTTGACATAAAAAAAATTGGTGGGGGGTGCTGATGATTCTACAACACGGGAAAGAGCCTATGATAAACAAGTTAAGTAAAAAAGGTTAAACATAAAACTACATACACAGTAGTAAAACATATGCAGGGGAGAAAAAGAACACAATAACTGTGAGGAACTCAGTAGCAAGAATTTACTGTTGTGACCAAAGCAAAAATAATGCCATAACACAGAGGGAGAGGCCTATCTCTGCTCTTAAATGATATTATTTAACTACAACCATAAGAGTTGCAGCCAGAGGTGAGATAGGAAGGCTATAAAAAGAATTCAGAACAAAATGACAGTCAACAGATTAAATGCAACCAAACAGTTAAAGGAAGTCAGACGCCATCTCAGGGGGGATGAAAGCTTTAGCAGAATTAAACTGACTTAATAACATGACTTAAACAAGGAAATGGACTCTGAGATTAAGGCCTTTGAGGAAGGAAATGGAGTCTCCCCAAGTGTGTCAAAGGAGACTCACCCTGGATTCTCAGCCCCAGGTCTCCAGAGCCTGTCAAAAAATATCTCTGGCCCTGGCCAGTTTGGCTCAGCAGTTGAGCGTTAGCCTGCACACCAGAGAGTCCCGGGTTCGGTTCCCGCTAGGGGCAGGAAACACACAAAAAAATCTCTGGCTTATAGTGATCTCAACCAGATCAGATGGAAACCCCCAAACTTGCCTGGGATGGTAAAACTCTTTTTTTTTTTTTTTTTTTTTATCCTCACCCGAGGACATTTTTGCATTTTTTGTTCAGACAGAGCGGGAGGGAGAGAGAGGGGGAGAGAGAGAGAGAGAGAAACATCGATGTAAAGGGACACATCGAGTGGTTGCCACCCGCACGACCAACCAGGGCCGGGGACAAACTGCAACCGAGGTACATGCCCTTAGCGGGAACCGAACCCGGGTCTCTCTGTACCGCAGGCCAACGCTCTAACCGCTGAGCCAAACCGGCCAGGGCGGTAAAACTATTTCTTAATGAATGTCTTTTAACTCCCAGAAAGATTCAAAATCTAACATAGAAATAAAATAAATCAAATACTATTACTGTTAATTTTCAGTTACATTTAGGAATATTCTATCCTTATTTATCACTCATGTCTATAATATTTAAAATAGCCCTGGCCAGTTTGGCTCAGCGGTTAGAGCGTTGGCCTGCGGTCCTGAGAGACCCGGGTTCGGTTCCCGCTAAGGGCACGTACCTCGGTTGCAGTTTGTCCCCGGCCCTGGTCGGTTGTGCGGGTGGCAGCCACTCGATGTGTTCCTTTCACATCGATGTTTCTCTCTCTCTCTCTCTGTTCCTCTCTCTCCCTCCCACTCTACCTGAACAAAAAAAAATAGAAAAATGTCCTCGGGTGAGGATAAAAAAAAAATATATATATATATAATATTTAAAATAGCATGCCATATTAAAGAACATGATTCTGATTCCAATTTAAAATGTAGAATTGAATAACTGATCTTAAACTTGGGATTTCCTTGTTCCAAATGTTAAAAATTTTATGAAAGGTGCAAATAAAACTGTTTAAGATAAATTAATACAGGAAATCACAGGTTACCAGGTTAATTAAAGTTATATATGCAAAAACTTGGGAATGTTTTTCTTGTCAAGTCAAGCACTCTGAATTGCTTAATAGAAAACTGAATACATTAAATGGGAAGACATTTAATGGTTGTAAAATGAGGCTGATTGGGATTAAAGTCTTATCAATCTAAGTTAAATAAATCAATATTAATCAAAGGACCCTTGTCTATCTTGAAAATTTGTTAAAATTGACGATTTCAATAAAAAATTTAGTAAGTTGTGCAACTAAATTTAAAGGTTTACCCAGCTATTCACTGAAGAGAAATAAAATATGTCCATACAAAGACTCACGTAAAAATGTTCATAGCACCATTATTCATAATAGCTTAAAAGTGAAACCTAGACCCTGGCCGGTTTGGCTCAGCGGTTGGCCTGTGGTCTGGAGAGACCCAGGTTCGGTTCCCACTAGGGGCATGTACCTTGGTTGCAGTTTATCCCCGGCCCTGGCTGGGTCGTGTGGGTGGCAACCACTCAATGTGTCCCTTTCGCATCGATGTTTTTCTCTCTCTCTCTCTCCCTCCCACTCTATCTGAACAAAATATCAAAGAATGTCCTCGGGTAAGGATAAAAAAAAAAAAGTGAAACCTAGCCCAGCAGGTGTAGCCCAGTGGTTGAGCATCGACCCATGCACCAAGAGGTCGCTGGTTCGATAGGGCACATGCCCAGGTTGTGGGCCAGATCCCCAGTAGGGAGCATGCAGGAGGCAGCCAATCGATGTTCTCTCTCATTGATGTTTCTATCTCTCTCCCTCTCACTTCCTCTCTCTCTAAAATCAATAAAGGGGAAAAAAATTTTTAAACAAATAAAATAAAAAATAAATAAAATAAATAAAGGGGAAATAAAAGTGGAACTCAGCCCTGGCCAGTGTGGCTTCGTTAGTTGGGCATTGTCCTGTGCACCAAAAGGTTGCCAGTTCAATTCCTGGTCAGGGCACGTGCTGGGGTCTCGGGCTAGATCCCCTGGTTGACAGTGTGTAGGAGAGGCAGCCAATCAATGTTACACTCTCACATCGATTTCTTTCTCCCCCTTCCTCTTTCTCTAAAAATCAACAACAAAAAATTTTTAAGTGAAACCCAAAAAACAATCAATTCATAAATGGATAAATTTTGCTATGTTCATACAATGAAATGCTACAAATAAAAACAAGCCACTGACACACACAGCACAGATAAAGTTCAAAAACATTATGCTAAGTGAAAGAAATAAAACACAAAAGACTACATATTGTATGATTCCATTTATATAAAATTCTAAGAAAGCAAAACTATCGGGATAGAAAGCAGATCTGTGGTTGTCAAGGAAAGGGACATAGAGAAAATTTTAAGGTGATATATGTTGATTATAGTAGAGGTTACACAATTATATGTATAGCCAGCAAAATTATCAAACTGAACACTTAAAATGAGTGAATTGTTGTATTATATATTTTAATAAAGCTAAAAAATAAAGTGCTGATTAAAATTTAAAGACTTATAACAATAGGCTTTGAAATTTAAAAATAAAATTTTAAATTGTCTTTTTTCTTCATACAGATTTCTTTCAAGGGCACACATAAAACAAAATCCACCTATCATGAGATATAGGTCACTATTTTATTTTCTCTATTTTTCAAGTTTCCTCTAATATACCATTACTATAATTTTTATTCATAAAAATATTAAAGGCGTGAAACACCATTAGAAAATCACTGGTCTCTAAACTTAACTGCTTACTATTCTCTCTCCATTTCACCCTCCCAGTTGAATGTAGACAGTTCCTCAAAGTGGGCAGTATAATACACTCCATAAAAATATTATGTCAGCTAGCAGACAGTGAGTGAGAGGGTAACTCATAAAAAGTGAAAAATTTAGAATTCCTACAAACTAAAAGGATAACACTCTGAAATTTTCTTTTGGCTAGCTGAACTGGAAATTGAGAGATGTCAGAAATTAAGATGTGCAGCCACTGTCAAAATAAGGAAGAAATAACACTGAAGAATTGGATATACTTAAGAAAGAAAAAGATTTGTTCAATTTGAGAAGTTGACCACAAATGTCAATACTATAAAACTAGATATTGGATCACTCTCAAATTATTTTCAAATGTAGTATAAAATGACAAGCTATCTGTATATTGTAAGAAGCTCCCTGTATATATATTACACAGACACACATACTAAACAAGTCCAAATTATAGGGAGTGATAATACAGCTTGTTTATATACTCTGCTCTCACCCTACTTGATCTCTTTCCACACCATCCACCTAGGATATGCCAACCCCTATTTGTCATTTCAGGTCTGGGATTGACTGATTGCCTCTTGGTCAAGCAAAAATAACCCTGCTATTGTTTTTTTAAAGGCAATTGGCTCGCTAATATGCTAGTTTCCCAAAAATGTCCAAAAAAGAGAAATAGTCATAGTTACAAACCAAAACATTATAAAAGATATCAAGTTTTCACCTGCAGTATCAAAAAGTCCAAGAGTATATGGCTCTCCACCAATCATAACTGTGACTGCATAGTTGTCAAAAACCTAAAAACACAAAACACACTGTTAGTGTGCAAGGCAATGGTCAAAATGAGATAGGACAACTCTTAAGGCAATATTTCCTTCCTAAGACTTACTCCTCTCTTAGCCCATTTCTTTTTTTTTTTTATCCTCACCCGAGGACATTTTTCCATTTTTTGTTCAGATAGAGTGGGAGGGAGAGAGAGGAAGAGAGAGAGAGAGAAACATCGATGTGAAAGGGACACATCGAGTGGCTGCCACCCACACGACCAACAAGGGCCGGAGACAAACTGCAACCGAGGTACGTGCCCTTAGCGGGAACCGAACCCGGGTCTCTCTGGACCGCAGGCGAACACTCTAACCGCTGAGCCAAACTGGCCAGGGCGTCTTAGCCCATTTCTTTATATAACCAACCTTGCCAACCAAGCCCTGGCATGAGCTAAACAGTTATTAGAAAAAGTGACAGGAAATATATTCTGAAATGTCTACTCTACCCCAGTAGCCTGGATAAAAAGCCATAGGAGCAGAGTCCCTAGATAAACAAAATGACCCTGTTCAAGTTTGAAAATGTTGAGACAAGTGGTTTAATGTTTTCCTCAATGGTCAATCTGATTTCTGAGAAATTATTCCTTCATAGACCATTTCCTTTTAATCTAGAATTAAAATATCCTAGATCCATAATAATCTTTTTCCCTTCAAGGTTCAAGATAAGAAGAGCCTTGTTGCTCTGGCTGGTTTGGCTCAGTGGGTCCTCGGGCCCATTTCTGGTCAAGGGCACATACCTAGGTTGCAGGTTTAATCCCCTGCCCCAGTTAGAGTTGTGCAGGAGGCAGCCAATTGATGTGTGTCCCTCACATCAATGTGTCTCTCTCTCCCTCCTTTCCACTCTATCTAAAAGATTAATAGAAAAATATCCTCGAGTGAGGATTAACACCAAAAAAAGAAGAGCCTTGTTGCCAACTGGCCCATTAGAGAGAAATAAAGGTTCCCTCAAGGTACTCAAGGAAAAGTGTCCAAGAAAAGGCTGGCAGATTAATTGTTGGGATTTAATAAATAAAACTTATGTTATTGGGTACAAACCAATGACCTAAGATACCCTCTTTGGCTATATGCTTTATTTGTAAATAGACTGTAAAACCCATTACAAACTCAATATATATTAATATGATTGTACTAAGTTACTTGTGAAAATAGGAGATAATGGTGCTAAATAGAAAAAGACCCAACACTAATCCATGGATGCCTTTGAATTAATTTACAATTTAAAAGCAATGTTTCCCAACTAGAAAGACATTATATTTTAAGATCAGCCCTGTTTATTAACCTTTGAACACTAATTTTCTGATTCACATTTTAATAGGTTAGGAGCTCGTTTAAATGTAAACAAGTGTGGAAGCAAGGGCATGGGGGAGGTGGTAGCTAAAAGAAAGTCAGTTTTTAATAACAAGAACAAGGAAATGTAACTCATGTGGTTAAGCTCTCAAACCATACAGGTTATTTTCTTAAGTCATACCTAACCCTTTTTCAGAGATCCACATACAAACATATATATAAAGCACCCACAAGCCCACCTTAAAAGGAACACCTACCAAAGTCATAAAACAGAGACAGAAATGTTTATAAGACAATAATGTTAATGGAAACTGAAAGACAAAAATTATGATAGTTGCCCTCACTCTGAAAGAAGATCCATGTATCTCTAAAAGTCCCCTAAAAGTCCCTTTCAACCTCAGAATTTCTTTCACTTACAATGTCCCCAAAAGGACCAACACAAAAATATGATTTTGTATTTGATTATACATTCAAATTCTTCCCCACCTCATTCACTTTACCTGCATTTGGGATATTATAGACTGTCAATTCCAATTAACATAATTACAAAGCCTTTAACAATTCACCCTCTTCACAATGGTCATGTCTCTGAAGATTAACCTAAAGTACTCATATATTTTCTTCCCCTTTACTTACAAACAATATTAATCCCATATTAATCTACATAGGTGCTTCATAACCCCTAAAATAGCTCATTTAACAGGTGGATGTTGCCAGGCCAGGCCAACTCTACTGTACTCTCACCAATGAATGGATATCTATGTTTAACAGAATTGGATCACTGAGTTGGTCCAACAACCCAGGACAAAACTGGATACCCAAACCCATTCTTTCACGAGTAACTCTCTTTCTCTCTCTCTCTTCATTATTTTTGTTATTCCCACTTTCCCTCTATTCTTCCAAGGAGCTAATAAAAAGACTTGTAGGAGAGGACCCCCAAAGGCTTCTGTTGGTGTTCGCATAACAAAAGCAGGTCTTCTCCGCCCCTAAAAATCAGTTTGGAGCTCCATTACTGCTAAGGCAACAGCTCCATGAGATTCTCTTCTGCCTCAGGAGAATAATTATAGATATACATACTACTTTCTCTGAAGTTATAAGACACTAAAAAGCATCCCAGAAGACCTCCAAGCACTGATTAATCATTGGCCAGGATATCAAAAAAAAGAAGTCACCTCATTCCAAGATGTAGGGCATACTTCTCCAAACTGAGACCACCACTCTTTTGAATCTTGTCTATTGGAGTTTTGCCTCCCAGCACTTCTTGCAAACCCTTGTGTCACCCCTTCTGACTTTCCACTGATTTTTCAGCTGTTTAATTTTAAAGTGTATATAATTTACCCATGAGATGTCAAGATCTTTAAAAACAGGAAACAAAGGCAGACAACAGAAATATTTCAGTATACAGAGAGTTTTCAAAAGGATATCAAATTATAGTATCTTTCACTAACAGATGAAAGCTTTCATACTTACAGTTGGTACATACTCAGATGGAAATTTGTTTGTTGTGTAGGAAATCAGGAGACATGTTTTACCAACAGCACCATCGCCCACAACAACACACTTAATTGTCTGCATTGCTGAAACAATTTTCTATCCACTTTAAATATTTCAAATCCGACGATGACCTACAAAAATATTAAAGATATGTTTTATTTATTTGTACTCATATATGTATTTTTTTCTTCAACTCGCAACAGGTTTACTCATTCAGAGCAAGAACAGAACTAGCACCCCAACTGCTCTGACTGAAAAAAAAACTAAAGAGAAATAGTGACTTGCTCAACATCACAATAATAAATAAGAGTCAAGTTTCTGATGCCTGGTTATTTCAAGTTAAATGTTTTTTTAAAAGTTCAAAGTGGGGGGAAAAGCAGTATATTTCTTATTATAATGAAAGAGAATGTTTCTATTTCAGAATGAATCCCATTTAGTGTGTGAAGTATTTTGTAAAACTTTTCCTTCAGTTCTATGTGCACACATGTGTATACGTGTATGTGTACTAGAATGAAATATAAAGGCCACTGCTTTAAAGAATGATCCATATATCCAACCTTAGAGCTACAGTTACTCAGACTATAACCAACCAGCAGCAGAGCACCACCACCCCATTGTAAGAGATGAGAAACATAAGAAACTAGATAAAGATCAAGGTAATCCCTCATCTCAGCAGCTGTTTTATTTCTAAAATATGTTTTTTGTGTGTTTTTTTCTTTTATTGATTTTAGAGAGAAAGGAAGGGAAGTGAGTGAGATAGAAACACTGATTTGCCACCTCCTACATGCCCCGCCCTGGGGACTGGGCCCACAACCTGGCCATGTGCCCTGACTGGAAATCAAATTGGCAACCTCCTGGTGCATGGGTCGACACTCAACCACTAAGCCACACTGGCCAGGCTAAAACATGTTTTTATTAATTTTTTTTTTTATTACAGAGAGAGAAAAGGAGAGGGAGAGATTAAAACATCAATGAGAGAGAAACATCGATTGGTTGCCTCCTACACTTCCCCTACTGGAGATGGAGCCCACAACCTGGGCAGGTGCCCAGACTGGAAATCAAGCTGAGATGTCTTGGGACAATGCTCAACCAAGTGAGCCACACCGGCTGGGCTCAGCAGCTGTTTTAGCACCAGGTTGCCTGGTTACTAATTCAGTATTTGTGCATAAAGAGGCCAAAACCTACCTTTTCATAATAAAAAAGTCAAATCACTCTAAAAATACTGACTTATAAACAGATATAATTACTTTAGCTTCTCTTACTGTAGTCTTTTCTTTTATTTTTTTTTTGTGGTACGTCCCCCTAGTGGGAAGCGAACCGGGACTCTCTGGTCCTCAGGTTGACGCTCAACTGCTGAGCCAAATCGGCCAGGGCAACTACAATTTTGTTGTTGTTGTTGTTGTTCAGATAGAGTGGGTGAGAGAGAGAGGAAGAGACAGAGAGAGAAACATCAACGTGAAAGAGACACATCGAGTTGTTGCCACCCACACGACCCAACCAGGGCCGGGGACAAACTGCAACCAAGATACATGCCCTTAGCGGGAACCGAACCCGGGTCTCTCGGGACGGCAGGCCGACGCTCTAACCCCTGAGCCAAACCGGCCAGGGCGCAACTACAATTTTTTTAAATATTTCTGTGTTAGTGGAAGATTCAAGATGGCAGCAGAGTAGGTGGAAGTTACACTCACCTCCTCCCAGATCCAAACTGGAATTACAACTAAATCACAGAACAATTGATCTGAATAACCAACTGAAGACTAGCTGAACATAAGTCTTATAACCAAGGAAAAGTATTTCTGCATTGTTAAGTACAAATTCATTATAACTAAATGCCAATGTTTCTGAGAACAATCTTTAAGATTTTCCAATGGAAAGTAATGGGTAAAGAGAAATGTGCTCTGCATACAGTTGGGTAGATCATTAGACAATTATTATTTGAAAACTTTTAGGACTGTTTATCTTTTTTTTTTTCTTTTTTTTTTCAGAGTAGAAAAAACAGTCCTCAAGTCAATCAGGCCCTTCTTGTATGTCCTCCTGCCTAATAAGCTGGAAAGATGATCCAAAAGACATAAACTTAATACATAAAATAATAACTTTCCTGACTCTGAAGTCAGGAAAACTCTGGGTGTTACTCACTATTTAGCACTTATTAGTGACCTGGGCAAGTTTCTTAACCTCTTTTTGCCTCAATTTTCTCATTTGTAAAACAGAACTAATTCTATCAAAACCTCACACAGTTGTTATGAAGATTAAATAATTCAGAAAAGACCTGGCTTTCAGCTCATGCTCAATATACATTAACTCTCTTCTGCCTAGTATGTCAATTAAATCAATCCTATCACATTCTATTTCTGTCCAGTGGGTCAAAACTTACACTGTAGCCCCAGCCGGGTGGCTCACCATACCTAAATTGCAGGTTCTATCCCCAGTCGGGGCCCCAGGGTGTGTACAGGAAGCAACCAATAAATGTTTATCTCTCACATCAATGTTTCTCTTTCTCTTTCTCTCTCTCTTCCCCTTCCTCTCCTCTCTAAAAATCAATAAAAACATATCCTTGAGTTAGGATTTTTTTAAAAAAGCAAACAACAACATACACTTTACTTCCTCCTCTCTTTGGTGGACTATCTAATAGTATCTAATAGAACTTTTCATGCTTTGCACACAATAAGAACACACAAAAAAAAAGGTTAAAATGAACTAAATATATTTGCTACTACTTAGTTAATGACACAAAAACCAAGAAATCCATCCCAATATTTCTTCTTTCTAAAAACTCCTGTATTATTTCTTTCTGTTCTTCCTGAATCATTTCTGTATCTATAAAGTAGTCCCTAAAACCAAGTTATCTGCCCTGGCTGGTTTGGCTCAGCAGTTAGAACGTCGGCCCGCGGACCAGAGAAATCCAGGTTCGGTTGCCACTCAGGGCATGTACCTCAGTTGCAGTTTGTCCCCAGCCCCAGATGAGGTCATGTGGGTGGCAACCAGTCGATGTGTCTCCCTCCCGCTCTATCTGAAGATAAATGCAAAATGCCCTCGAGTAAGGATAAAAAAACCCAAGTTATCTAACAGGTGTTAACAAAATAATTTAGGTAGAAGAAAAGACCCTATCACTATCTTTAAACAATAAATTAAATGCTTTTTAGTTTACAAATCATCCTGCCTACATGCAAACTAACAAAAGTCTGACAGTTATTACCTTTTATAATCTCCTTCCTGTTGTGCTTTAATTCAGCCTCTAAATCAGAAATTTCAAAATTATCACTTCAGACCACCAGAGTCAGAATTGACTTGGACTGGGTTTATTAACAACTCAGATTCCTGGGCCTCACCCCAAATCTAATAAATTAGAACTCAACACTCCCTATGTAATTCTAATGCACAACAAAGTTAAGTTTGCGAACCACTTTCCTATATGATAGCAAGATAAGAAACACCAGTAACACAAGAATCTAAGCTAAGATAAACATTACAGGCATTTTAGGTCACCTAGAAGTACTTTCTTAAAGTAGAATTCAAATGATCAATATGAATTAGCTGCATTATCCAAGCATTTTACATATTCAGTAATGAAAAATTCACATTGAATACTGAGAGATCATGAACTGGTATACTTCAGAGGTGTTTCAACCTAAAAGTATTTTCAAATAATAATAGTGAGAGTAGCAAACACTTATTTAGCACTTACTATGTGCCACATACTGTCCTAAACATATTACACATATTCAAACATTTCATCCTCCCAACAATCCTATGAGGTATGTACTATATTATGTCCATTTTACAGATAAGTGAGGTTCAGTGAAGTAACTAGGCCAAAATTAATGAGCCAACAAACAGCAGAAGTGAAATTTAAACCCAAGCAGTCTGTCAAGCCCCTGCTCTAAAACACTAAACTATACTACCTCATGCCTGAGAAGTGAAATTAATAAAAAACATGATCACGCCCTGGCCGGTTTGGCTCAGCGGTTAGAGTGTCCGCCTGTGGTCCGGAGAGGCCCGGGTTCGGTTCCCGCTAAGGGCATGTACCACGGTTGCAGTTTGTCCCCGGCCCTGGTTGGTCGTGCGGGTGGCAGCCACTCGATGTGTCCCTTTCACATCGATGTTTCCCTCTCTCTCTCTCCCTCTCTCTCCCTCCCACTCTGTCTGTACAAAAAAAATGGAAAAATGTCCTCGGATGAGGATTAAAAAAAAAAAAACATGATCACTGCAAATGGAGTGGCAAGTATATACTCATGACAGCTGCTGGCATTGGAAAAGGGAAGGCAGAAGAGGAAGCAAGAAACAGAAGTTCAGTTCCTGTTTCTTCACCCTGCAGACAAGTACTGAATTTTATTGGGGAAAGGAGACATAGAAGAATTAGTAAGAAAGAGTTTGTGTTTGCTCTTCCCCTTTCTATATACCCACAAATCTTCCATTTCTTAGGCTTCCTGACTTAATAGCTCAGCAATCTGTTGGAAACTGGTTGTGGGTCCCCTATTAAGATCATTGGTTCAGGAGTCAGACTGGTCCAACTACTATAGCTATGTGACCTGAGGCAAGCTATTTGATTTCTCTGTGGCTCAGTATCCTCTTATCTAAAAAATGAAAATAGTAGTATCTTCCTCATAGGATAAGTTGATTAAGATAATACATGTAGCCCTGGCCGGTTTGGCTCAGCGCTTAAGAGCGTCGGCCTGCGGTCCAGAGAGACCGGGTTTCAGTTCCCTCTAAGGGCGCATACCTCAGTTACAGTTTGTCCCAGACCCTGGTTGGGTTAGGGTGGCAGCCACTCGATGTGTCCCTTTCACATCAATGTGTCTCTCTTTCTCTCTCTCTCTCTTCCTCTCTTTCCCTCCCACTCTTATCTGAACAAAAAAAAATGGAAAAATGTCCTCAGGTGAGGATTAAAAAAAAGAGAAAGGAAAAAAAAAGATAATACGTGTAAAGAATTTAAAACAGTGCCTGGCATACAGTAAATGCTTAGTAAATGTTAGCTATTAATCTTGAATGTTTAAAGGCACTTTTAAGTCAATATAATTTTAAAACATCAACAATTACAACCCACTTAGAACAGAGCACATAATTTTTTTTATTTCCAAAATAATTGCAGTACTCATTGTTCTTACTAAAAACATAGTCATATATAGAATTA